GGTAGCTACCCTATGCACAGCAGTTCTGAATCCTGCCCTAAGCTGAGCCAATCTCATTATCTCTGGCACACTAACCCTTATTACCCCAGTTACTATATCAACCCATCTCCTCAGGGTTTTCATCTCTTGTAATGTCCTCCATCTTTCCAAGCATGATATTCTTCTCTAAGGACTGGCCCCTCCTGGCAACATGCTCAATGTATGTCAGATGGAGTTTCAAAATCCTTGCCTCCAAGGAGCAACTTGGTTTTACCCACTCCAGGAAAAATCTGTTTGTTCTCTTGGCAGTCCATGTTCAATATTCTTCTCCAGCACCATGACTCAAAGGTGTTGATTCTTCAACAGTCATCCTTAGTCAACTCTGACTCAGAGTTGTCCAACTCTGTAATGCAAGCAATTTCAAAGACCATGGCCTGGATCAGACACACCTTAGTATCTAGCCTGACATCATTGCTCTTAAGTACTCTGGAGAGGTCCCTGATGGCAAATTTTTCTAATGTAATTCGTCTTTTGATTTCCTGACTGCTGGTGTCAAGAGTGTTGACTGTGGAGCTAAGCAAGCTGAAATTGTTAACAATTTCAGTCTCTTCTCCATCTATCATGGTGTTATCAATTGGCCCAGAAGTGAGAATCTTTGTTTTCTTGAGGTTGAGTTTCAATAAATTTTTAAGACTACAGTCTTTGGCCATTTTGAGCAAACGCTTGAGGTCCTTATCAGTTTCTGTGAGCAAGTTTATGTAATCTTCATAATGTAGGTTGTTGATGAGTCTTCCTCCAATCCTGATGCCACATTCTCCTCATAAACCCCAGCCTCCTGAATGATCTGTTCTGCATATAGATTGAAAAGGTATGGAGACAGGTCATATCTCTGACACACTCCTGTCCTGATTTTGAACCATACAGTATTTCCTTGCTCTGTTCTGATGACTGCTTTCTGGTCCAGGTATGGCTCTCACATGAGCACAATCAAATGTTCTGGGATTCCCATTCTTCTCAGAGTCAGCCACAGTTTGTTATGATCCACACAGTCAAATGCCTTTGCATAATCAATGATTCTGGGATTCCCATTCTTCTCAGAGTCAGCCACAGTTTGTTATGATCCACACAGTCAAATGCCCTTGCATAGTCAATGACACACAGATATACATTCCTCTGGTACTCTTTGTTTTCAGCCAAGATCCATCTGACATCGTCTGTAAAGCCCCTACTGCCATGGCCTCATCTAAACCCAGCTTGTATTTCTAGCATTTCTCTGTTGATATATTTCTCCAGTTGTGTTGTTTGTGTGTTTTATAATCTTCAGCAAGATTTTTCTTGTGTGTATTAGTGACATTGTTCAGTAATGTCTGCACTTTGTCAGATCCTCTTTGGATCTCTTCCATTCAGTTGGCCAGGTAGTTGTCTTCCAGATTTCTTGCCATAACCTGGTGAGTACATCCAAGGCATCATCTGTTTGCTGAAATATGTCAGTTGGTATGCTGTGAATTCATGGGACTAGGTTATGGGCTCTTTATCTGCTTTTTTGCTCTGGGCAGGAAGGGGCTATGCTATTCTATCTCCCTTTGACCCTTTCAGAGAGATTTCCTGGTCCTGTGCCCCCATGTCTTGTTTACAGCTCTATTGACATTTGTATAACCTTATTGGAAATTGAAAGGTGTTTGAGGCCCCTACTTGGAATATCTTTCCTGAAGCAGAATAATTCACATAACCTCTAAATCCATATAAGCTTTGCAAGGCCTAAATGTGTACAATTAATGATAGGAGAAATTGTTTCTAGGTAACACAAACTGTAAAATACAAACCTACCAGGAGGGGCGGGTCCTTGGAGAGGGACATCATGCTTGGGAGGGTGGAGGGACAGCGCAGGAGGGGAAGACCCTCTATGAGATGGATTGATTTGGTGACTGGGGTAATCGGGATGGGTGTGTCAGAGGCAGTGCGGTTGGCGCAGGATAGAGCAGGGTTTAGGGCTGTTGTGCATAGGGTCACTATGAGTGGAAAACTACTCGACGGCACATAACAACAACAACAACAACACTGCCCAAAAGTTGGCATTTCAACCTACTCAGAGGTGGTTAGAAAAGAGACCTGGTGATCCACTTCTGAGAGGTCACAGCCTTTGAAATACCAATGTTCTTTAACTGTTTTACTCCGTACACTTGGAGTCACCATAACAGAATAAAATTATTGGTAGCTAACATCAATAATAATCTTGGCACAACCAGGTGAAGATAAAAATCAGTAATTGAGACCTTCTGAAAACTGAGTGTCTGTGTGCTTCAGGGTGCACCTGATCCGGGCAATGATCTTCACAGTTACTTGCTATGCATCAGAGAGCTGAACAGTGAGCAAGGATGACAGAAAAAGAATCAGTGCCTGCAAGTTGTGGCTGGAGAAGAGTCTTGAACATACCATGGACTGCCAAGAAAACAAATAGGTCTGTCTTGGAGAGAGTAAAACCAAGTTTCTCCTTGGAGGCTAGGAATTTGAAGGTCCATCTCACATATTTTGGTCATGTGGCCAGGAGGGACCAGTCCTTGGAAAAGTACATCATGCCCGGAAGGGTGGAGGGAGAGCACAGGAGAGGAAGACCCCAAGTGAGATGGAATTATACACTAACTAGGGAAATGGGGGTAGGTGTGTCAGAGTCAGACTGGCTTAGGACAGGGCAGGCTTCAGAGCTATTGTATAATACTGTAGGGTCGTTATGAGTTGCAGGTGACTCAATGGCACATAACAACAACAACGACAGCTCCACTGCTGGTGGGATTGTAAAATGGCACAACCACTCCAGCTATTCCACTACTAGGAATATACCCCAAGGACAGTAGCACTGAGACACAGAGAATTGTACATCTATGTTTATAGCAGCATTAATCACAATAGCAAGAAAATTGGAACAAATCAAATGTCCATCAACAAATGAATGGTTGAAAAATTGTGGTACATTCACATGATGGAACACTGTGCAGCACTAAGGAGCAATGATTTTATAAAATATTATTTAATATGAGGAAGTCTAGAGAACATTATGCTGAGTAAACTCAGTCTCAAAAGGACAAATACTGCATAAGACCTTATATTAAAAATAGAAGGATGACTATTAAGAGGTGCATAAATGTCCTAAATGGGAAAGGAATGGAGGCAGTGGGTGGGAAAGGTGGGAATCACTAGGATAACAGAGTTTATTAGGCAGAGTGAGATGTGTGAGGGAATTAGGAAAGATCCAATGAGGACCTAAAAAGATGAGGTGAATCTTTTCTAATCTCCTCTAACACGAGTACTACCTCTGAATACCCACTGGAGGGTCAGCTCTGGGTCGGTTCCAACTCTATGGTACACAATGGCAACAACATATATAATTTAACAATTGCATAGGAGATTGTCCATCCTTCTCCCACGGAGAGCTAGTGGATTTGAACCACATGCATTTGTGATTACAGCATAGGTTCGTAGCACTAGAGCCCACCAGATCTCCCAGTATAAAAATAGAGCCTTCCAAATATCCTAGGCTTTCAAATAGTAAATTTCTGAGTGTTAATGTTTTTGGAAGTATTAAAAAAATTGATACATTAATTCTTTTTCTTAGATTTCAGTAATATCACTAGTAGGAATATAATGGAAGACTAAATAATTTTTAATAGCTGACATTAATGGACAATGCTAATTGTCCTTTAGATCAGCTGATTTCCTCATTCTTCTTTCTCTGTCTTTTCTCTCACATACACACAAGTACACTTCTTATATATATATTTATATGTTGCTATTGTTTTTGTTATATACTGTCGAGTCGAAACTGACCCATAGCTGTCTGAGGGGGATTTCCCATCCTTCTCCCTTACTTTTAGGGATCGTTTCTATAGTTTGTTACTAGAGAAGTTTCTCTGATTGCATAGAGCATATATTTGTACATAGTATAGGCCTTGGTCTTCGCAGTTACTTGCTATGCATCAGAAAGGTGGACAATGACTAAAGATAATAGAAGAATAGATGCCTTTGAGTCATGGTGCTGAAAGAGTATTGACTATACCATGGACTTTTGGGAGCATAAAAAAGTTCATCCTAGAGAGGGTGAAACCAGGCTGCTCCTTGGAGGCAAGAATTTTGAAACTTGTCTGACATACTTTGGGCATGTTGCCAGGAGGACCAGTTCTTGTAGAGGAATTTCATGCTTAAAAGGGTGGAGGGACAGTTCAAGAGAGGAAGACCCTGGATGAGATGGATTGACTCAGTGACTGGGGTAATGGACGTAGGTATGTCAGAGACATTAAGGTTGGCTAAAGATAGAACAGGGTTTAGCTGTTGTACATAGGTTTGACTCGATGGCACAAAACAACAACAATATATATATCTTATAGGGAGCTCTGGTGGCCTACTGACAAGAAGCTGTGCTGCAATCCTGAAGGCATGCAGTTCAAATCCACCAGCTGTCATGTAGGAGAAAGATGGGTAGTCTCCTGTCATGTGATTAATTGCCTCTGAAAACCCACGAGAGGGTCAGCTATGGGTCAGTTCTGACTCTATGGTAGACAACAACAGCACACAAATATCTCTTGTATACATATCAGTGAATATATAAGAAAATAAGTCTATCAGAGACTAGTTGTAACTATCCTAAATATTTTATACATTTTATCTTATTTCATCGTGAGACAAGTAAGGTGTTAATACAATAATTTTACAAATAAGAAAATGGATACATTTTATATAACATTAGAACTAGAATTTTTATTAATAAATACACCTACTATCTAATTCATTAACATGAATTATTGGTAAATAGAAGAATTTGTTTACCAACAATGTTGCTGTTGTTATATGCCATCAAGTCAACTACAACTCATAGCAACCCTAAGAAAACAGATCTGAACTTTGCTCTCATACTTACCAAATATATCTTGCAGAAGTTATTTTGATATAACTCTTACTGGGGTGATCAGGCATAGCTGCAGTTTCTGTGATTGTTCTTTTGTTTACTGATTTTTACAGGGATTTTCAAGATGAATTATACTGAGTCCAATCCATTGATCGAACCAACTACAATAGGTTTCACCTCCAAGTTGTCTGTGCCTTCCAATGGAACCACCTGTGAAAACTGGAGAGAGATCCATCATCTTGTTTTCCATACAGCAAATATTTGTTTTGCAATCGGGTTGGTTATTCCTACTACTCTTCATCTTCATATGATACTCCTTAGAGGAATGTTAACTCTAGGTGAGTTACTTAGGTTTTTTGTAACTTGTTTATAACTGGATTTGTATTCAGGGCTTCAGCGTATTGTTTGGTAGGCCTATAATGTATAATGTAAAGTCTTCATGATCTAAATAGCAATGTTTTAGTAATTTACAATATAGATCTTCCCATGTTCACATCTCTCTCTCTCCAATATTTAGAATAAAAGTATATGTTGTTTTGTTTTATTTTGTTGTTGTGTTGTTGTTAGGTGCCATCAAATTGACTATGACTTATAGTGACCCTATGAACGACGGACCTGATATGACTTATAGTGACCCTATGAACGATGGACCTGAACCCTCCCCGTCCTGTGCCATTTTCCTCATGTCTCTCACGCTTGAGCCCATTGGTAGCATTACTGTGCCAATCCATCTCATTAAGGATTGTCTCTTCTTTCCCTGGCCCTCCATCTGTCCGAGAGTGGTGTACTGTTCCAAGGACTGGCTACTCCTAACAATATCCAAGGATTTTCCAAATATCAGAAAAACTCTTCAATTGTAGAAAAACTATTATTTTAGTCAGTGATTTTTGACAAATTACTCTCTACATGGCTATTTCCTCGATCTGTTTGTTCACATGCATTTTGAGCACCTGTAAAGTGTCAGAAAAAGATTAAAGAAGGTGGACCCATCCTTGAGAAAGACAGTCTTGGATCTAGCAGAGAAGCAGGTGGACAGTCATACTGTGGCTGTGATACCGGTGCACACCCAGTGGGGGAGGGAATTGAGAGGTGAGAGAACCAGTAGGAAGGTGAAACAAGGTGCTACCGAGCAGAGGACAGTGGGTCTTGCTTTTTAACGATGAATAGGACTCCTCCAAGTGTGAGTGCATGCAGCACTACAGGCACAGGGCACAGAGAAAAGGAAAATACAGCGTCTTGGGGAATTAAGAGGCAAGGGTAGGGAACTTCACCTTACATACTCTGGGCATGTTGTAAAGACGCTATAGTCCTTGGGAAAGGCAGCATATTGAGACAAATAGAGGGTCTGTGAAAAAGAGGAAGACCCTCATTGAGGTGGGTTGGCATAGTAGCCATAATAGTGGGCTTGAGCATGGTGGAGATCGTGAAGATGGCATTGGATAGGGCAAAGTTTGGATCTGCAGAATATTTTAACTTGAAGGCACCTTCAATATGACAGTAACATTGTGCCTGAAAGTCGTGACAGTAGGAAGGAGTTGTAGAACTAGCATACAGGTTGTAGGGTTTCTGTGACATGCGAGGGAATGTAGACTTTTCCTCTTGATTTTTTTTAAGGGGAAAACTTATCATAATAATGTAGTCAGGCTGCATCATTGAGGAGAGTTTGGAGAAGGTACAGGTTGGGGATGAGGGATCTGTAGTGACTGGTGAGAGGCTGGGCTACCAGTTAGGAGAAAACTTCATCTTTCTATCCCAACCAAAGATGGTAAGTGGAGAACTTTTGTAGTGGGGGGATGAAGGATGGACTTGAGAGTTACTTTGGCTTAGAATAGTAAGATGCAGAGTCTCACTGCGGGGCATTTGTTTGGATATGAGAGATGATGCTGACTGAGGATTCCAAGTTGGAGAATGGGATATATGCTTTATTTTAACAAGGTTAATTATAGCAGAAGGACCAACATATTGAATAAGAACCACTTCAAAGCACTATAATGAAAATTATCCATATTAAAAGAGGTCCATATTTGTTTCCATTCCCAAGAAAGTTGATCCCACTGAATGTAGGAACTGTTGAACTATATAAATAGCAGTGCAATGGCATCTTTAAATATTTGCTTTGCCGTATCATTTAAATGTTATTTCATTGTTCACATATAGGTTATTATTCATATACCCCAAATCATTCATATGCCTCAGATCATTCTTAGGAAGCAAAAATTGCAAATACATAACTTTGTAATTTAATTAGAAAGTCAGTTTGTGTGTGTCTGTGTGTATGTGTGTGTGTGATTGATATAGTTGTACCATTTCGACAGTTGTATTTTAAATAAAAATATTAACTCTTCTAAGACTTTCAAATTTTTTTGGTGTTGGCAACTTGATTCCCTAACTGGTAGGATTGCAAATTTGTATAAATTTTCTTTAATATCATAAAAAACCTGTAAAGTTTATTCACCTTGATTTGAAGGAATCTACCCTAAGTAAGCACAAATTGGTTGCATTTTTATGTACAAATACATTGTTGCTGATTATATTAGGGAAAAAAATCATACCCCAACAAACTCATCTGCCCAACAGGAGGAGGATGGTGAAATGAATACTAATTTAACCTCTGGTTGTCATTACAAGCGATGTTAAAAAGTTTCTGTGAAATGGGGAACTCACGGCAAAAAATTACAAACAGTAGATTTTTAAATTGTTTATGAATTAGGTTTTCTACCAGGTAAAACTACATAAAGTAAAAATTCTAAGGAAGGACTAAATGTAAATGTTCAGTGTTATTTATTATTAGGTGCTGTAGGATTATGGAATTTTTTTGCCATTTTAAAAAAATGTTTTTGATACTTTACAAATTTTCTACATCACAGCATGTTTTATTTTGTAATCAGAAGAATACTCAAAAAGGAACTTGAGTGTAGTGTTGGGGTTTTTTTAGTAATGCTTAAATATTTTCTTTACAATGAGTTTACTTTATGTACGCATTTATTCAGCTGCATGCAGATACTACATTCTAGACACCTAACATGTTGACTTTGCTCTTCAACAGGATGTACTCTCTACATTGTTTGGGCCACTCTCTACCGATGTGCCTTGGATATAATGATCTGGAACTCTGTGTTCCTGGGTATCAACATTTTGCATCTTTCATATCTTTTGTACAAGAAAAGACCGGTAATTGCTGAAAATGAATTAATTAGATAAAGATTTTAAAGCTAATAATCTTGTAAAAGTACCGTGTTCAAACTTGAGAACACTTAACATCTTTAAGTTGCATTAATGCCATTTCTCTGTATATTACTTTCCATTTATATATACCTGAAAGTAAGACATTTGAATACCATGAAAATGACTTACAAATGTGTTTAATTGTTAGAGCTGCTTAGACATGAAGAATGTGAACAGTGTCTTCTCTTCTTAGACTGCTTGTCTATTGGTATTTAAATGCGACTTGGAAATATCTTTGCCTAGTTGTAACATTAATGGCTAATAGAGAATTCCCATAAGCATATTGTTGTTGTTAGTGCTCTCAAGTTGACTATGACCCATAGTGACTCTGAATAATCTGCGCCTTGCCCTGTCCTGTGCCATCTCACGATCTCTGCCTTGCTCAAGCTCATTGTACTAGATACGATGTCAATCCATCTCCTAGAGGATCTTCTCTTTCACTGATTCTTCTTTCCCAGCACGATGTTTCTCTCCAAAGATTTGTTCCTCCTGAAAATAAGCCCAAAGTAAGTGAGACAAAGTTTCGCTATCTCTGCCTCTAAGGAGTACTCTGGCTGCACTTCATTCAAAATAGATTTGTTTGTTCTTTTGGCTGTCCACAGTATATTCAATAGTCCTTGTCAACACCACAATTCAAAGGCATCAGTTCTTCTTCGGTCTTCCTTACCCAACATCCCTGTGCACATATAGACATATTAGTAATTAACAAATAATCCTGCTAGTTTTAGGGCAGCAACTATGTAATTTTTTTCTTATGCCCCAAATCGTCATTTAAGGAAATTATCATTTTTGGTGAATTGTTACAAACCCCCAGTATTTTGCTGTCCCTTTCAATTTATTTTGGTGTGTTTCTTAGATGGCACAGAGGGGAAAGATGTATATGAGTAAGAAAATAACAGCACTCCAGGAATTCACCTCAGGCATATCTATTGTTTAAGTGTCGAGACCAGACGTGCCTGTAGCAAGAACTATTAGAAACAAAACACTTCACAGGAAATTACAATATTAATGAGATAGATGATTATATAATAGGCATTCTACTAGATAGCAACCTTCTCAAACATAGTATTTCTGGTTTTTCAAAAATATATTGGCTTGCTTACAAAGTTCATATACATAGTGTTTCACACAATTGTTCATTCACATTATGTTTCAACATACCTGCTTTGCTTACAGTGTTAATCATTTTTTCCTAGGTTGTGCTGTGTAATAAGCACAAATTTGACTCTAAATTGCAACAGGTTTTTTTTCCTCTCACTTTGTATGTCAACCCTGGCAGCTCTGGCAGCTGTGATTCTGTTCCACATATTTCATTTATTTCACTGTCTCTGCTGAATAGCAAACTTTGTTTGGACTTGCATCCTTGCAGAGAGAAAATATAGCAAGAAATACCAGTTTCTCCTAGAGGTCTCCTCAGAAGTGCCATGCATCACTTCTGTTCAAACATCGTTAGCCAAAGCAAGTAGCATGGCTTTCCTTGAGCCACTGTAAAAAATACCACCAAGTTGATTGCTTAAAACAATAGAGGATTATTCTCTCCTAGTTCTAGAATCCAGAAGTCCAAATTCTAGAGGTTTGCACAGGTATTCACTCTTTAAAGACTTGAAGGGAGATCCCTTTGTTGCCCTCCAATATCTGCTGGCCCCACAGTTCCCTTGCAATCTGTTATTCCCACATATCATTTTCCACTATGTCTTTCTGTGTGTTTTCTTCTTTTTTCTCCTATGAGGGTACCAGTACCGGGGTTAGGACTTGGATATATCCCCCCCTTTTTTTTGTGAGAAAAATTTGTATTTAGAATTAGCCAGCTGGACTTAATTTAAATGATCCCAATTTTGTTGGCAACATCCAAAGCATCATAGTCAGGAGCAAGTCAAACATAGGCCTCCATCTCTCCATCAGACCTAATTAATGTGTTGACCTTGGCCATATCAGTGCCACAGAGCTTCTTTACAGCTTGTTTTATTTGGTGCTTGTTGGCCTTGACATTCACAATGAACACAAATGTGTTATTATCTTCTATCTTCTTCATGGCTGACTCAGTGCTCAGGGGAAATTTGATGATGGCATAGTAGTCAAGCTTGTTTCTCCTGGGGGCGCTCTTCCAGGGGTATTTGGGTTGCCTTCGGAGTCTCAGCATCTTAGGTCGCCCGAAGGTGGATGATGTGCGGATCTTCTTTTTTTCTTCCTCTGTGGCTGTGGATGCCCTTCATTCCGTTTTGAAGCCTTTACTTTGGCTTCAGTTTTGGGAGGCACAAGGGCTTCCTTCTTCGCTTTCAGTGCCAATTTCATAGAAGGGTGGATATATCCTTTTGAGGAATTTGACAGTCCTTAAAAAAAAGGTGTCATGCTAGGAAAGGTGGAGATTCAGATAAAGAGAAGACCCTCTATAAATGGACTGATACAGTGACTGCAGCAGTGGGCTAAGCCTCTCAGAGATCTTGAGGAGAACACAGATCTGTTGTTGATAGAGTCTGATCTGTCATTCATAGAGTCACTTTGAGTTGGAGTGGACTCAGTGGCATCTAACTACAACACTGAGTCCACTATAGGAAGTACTATAGCCAAATCTGATCATGGGAGAGCGTTGCTGAAGGGATGTGCAATCTCAAAGGAGCTAAAAAAAAAAATAAACAAACCCAATACCCTGCCATCAAGTCGATTCTGACTCATAGCGGCCCTGCTGAACAGAGCAGAACTGCCCCATAGGGTTTCCTGTAAATCTTTTAGAAGCAGTGTCTCACCTTTCTGCCAAGGAGCAGCTGAGTTGAAACCATCACACAGTGAATTAGCTGCCAAATGGTTTAACCGCCGCCACAGTGGGCCTCACAAGGATTGTTGTTGTTATTGTCAGGTGCTGTTGAGTTGATTATGACTGATAGTAACCCTGTGAACAGCAGATTTGAACTGTATCCTATCCAACACCATCCTTATAATCTTCAACATACTCGACCCCAAGGCTGCAGTTACTGTTTTATCAATCCTTCTCTCTGAGACTCTTCTCCTTCCCTGACCTTTCACCTTTCCAAACATGATGTCCCTTACCAAAGAATAACCTCATGCCCAAAATATAACAACATGCTCACAGTATGGGAGACAAAATTTTATCATCTTTGCCTCCAAGGAACCCTCTGGCTGCATTTTCTTTGTGATGTATTTGTTTGTTCTTTTGACAGCCCATAGGATATTCAGAATTCTTCTCCATAAACACACTCAAAGTCATCAATACTTGAAAAATAATTTAGTGTGCTGTTCTTAATATTGTATTCCTCATCACAAGCCGCAACCAGCCCAAAGTTTAGGCACTCAAAAAAGCTTTTGATGAGTAGGTGCTTCAAAGAGGAAAATAAAGACGTCATGAAAGAGTTGAGATTTGCGCTGGGATTTGCAGGAGGAACGGTTATGAATGGGTCAGTAGATCCCTCAGTTAATGTGCTCATTACTCTGCCACATTAGCTGGAGTGCATGCTCGAAGTGGGGCACATGTGCAAATAAATTATTTTAAAAGCTCATTATTGAAGCTCTGGAGTGATAGTAATAGATGATATATAGTAGTAATAAGGGAGATTATAGTCATAACTATCAGAACTTGCTGAAACCTTAAAGCGTAAGGTTCAGATATTGCTGAAGTTATGGGCACCAAATAGGTAAATCACTTAGCATCTCGAACTGTAAGCCTTCTTTTTTTTAAAAAAAAAATATAAACCACTCATTAAAGTGAAACAGTAGGGCAACTATGAGCATTGCAAATGCCAAAGTGAAGTGTGAGCAATTCTTTTGACCTTGGTCGAGCTTCTTAGTGTACCTATTCTAGACTCACAGTGAATATGACTTTCAGAGACTAAAATGGGCCCAGCAGGGGCATTCCCTGGGCCTTGGATAATAAGCAGTTCTGCTTTTCTCTTCCTCTTCCTCCTTGTTGTTGAATTGGAACCAACTCAGCTGACCCTCCATTGGATTTCCAAGGCTTTAAATCATCTGAGAGGAGATTGTCCATCTCCCCTGGAGCTGTTGGTGGGTTTGAACCACCAGAGAAGTGAAGCCTTTGGGTTGGCAGTGCAGCTCCTTACAGAGTAGGTCACCAGAGCTCCTAATTTCTTTTCCTGCCTTTTAGTCAGCTTCAACTCCTCATTTCAACTGATGTAGCATTAACTTTCTTAGGCCATACATTTTCATGGGAGAAGACTGCTCATCTTTTCTCCTGCTGAGTGACTGGTAGATTGGAACAGCTCATCTTTTACTTAGCAACCCAGTATATTAGGCACTACCCGCAAGAAAGCTTCCTCTAGTAGCCAGCTTTACTCACCAGTGGATTCTCCACTCTACAGAGTTCATTTGGGCATAGGATGAAACTGCTACACCGGAAGCCATTTGCATCTTTTTCTCTCCTCCTTGCCTCAGAATAAATAAAAGAGTAGCTGTGATTGCAGATGTGTTTGGTTTTCTATATCGGTGTATTAAATAATAATTACATGGAGATAAAATGTTTAGTTGTGTGCATTATTCTCATGTCAACATTGATTGCTATTTGGATTTATTACCATGCTATATTTAAAAGATAATGTAATTTTTTTTCCTTGTGATAAAGAAGTTTCTTAAACAAGAAAAGGTTTTGTGTTACTGCAAGTGGAGCTAAAATAGGGAAGGTAAATGTGTCAAAATATAGAAAGCCTTGACAGTTGCTGTAACAAGAAGTGTCTTAATAGTGCACATCTCTCCCATATACTCTTAGAGTTCAATTTAACTCAAAATATGACCGTTTAGAATAAAGAACAGAAATGTGTATCACTGCTTACACTGTGTGAGATTCAATGGACTTAATACTGAGGGATGATGGCATCAAGGATTTGTTTATCCCCAGAAACATGTCTACACAGCAGAAGTCAGTATTTCAGGGGTGCTGCATTAATATAACATCTCCTTACTGCATGTCAGGTCAAGATCGAGAAGGAACTCAACACCGTCTACCGGCGATTGTTTGAACCACTCCGTGTGTCTCCTGATTTGTTCAAAAGATTGACTGGACAGTTTTGCATAATTCAAACCTTGAAAAAAGGTCAGACTTACGCTGTGGAGGACAAAACTTCTGTTGATGACCGCCTGAGCATCCTTTTGAAGGGAAAGTAAGTGCTCTTTGAAAATGGATGTTCTCAGTTTGCCCTTAACAAGTTTGTCCTTGTCCCTGGGTAATAAGTAAATGAGAAATAAATGAGAGAATATTGCCAATGGATGGAGGAGGTGGTGATGGTTTGTTGTTGGTAAGATTTCATTTTATGACTGTTGTTGCAGTTAGGCCAGAGTTGTGTTTCTAGGTGCCATTGAGTTGAGTACAACTCACAGCAACCTCATGGACAACACACCTGAACCCTGGCCTATCCTGTGCCATCCTCATCATCTCTGACATATGTGAGCCCAGTCTCTGGGTCAGTCCATCTGGTTAAGGTCTTCTTCTCCTTCACTGACTCTGCACCTTTCTGAGCACATTGCCCTTCAAGTAATAGCCTGTCCTAGCAACATTCCCAAAGTAAGACAGATGAAGCTGGTTTAGAATCATGGTTCCATTTGATATCAGCAATTATATTCTGGTGCCATGGCCTCTTCCAAACCTAGTTTGAATTTTTGACAGTTCTCAATGAACTGTTCTAGCCATTTTTAAATGATCTTCAGCAGTATTTTGCTTACATGTGATATTAATACTATTTGATAATCTCCACCTTCTGTTGGATCACCTTTCTTGGGAATAGGAACAATTATGGATCCCTTCCAGTCAGTCAGCTAGATAGCTATCTTCCACATATCCTGGCACAGACTAGGGAGTGTGTCCAGGGCTCCATCTGTTAGCTAAAACATGTCAATTGGTATCCCATCGATTCCTAGGACCTTATTATTTTTTTTTTCTTTTGCCAATGCCTTCAGTGTTGCTTGAACTTCTTCCTTCATTACTGTTGGTTCTTGGTCATATGATACTTCCCAAAACATTTCTGTGTGAGGCGATTCTTTTTAGTACAGAGATTCTCTGTATTCCCTCCATCTTCTTTTGATGCTTTCTGGATCGTTCAAGATTTTACCCATCGCATCTCTAAGTATTGCAACTTCAGGCTTAAATTTGTTTTTCAGTTCCTTCAACTTGAGAACTACCTAAGGAGTTCTTCTCTCCTAAGGAGTTTTTCTCTCATTCCAGCTCATTGCAAAGAAAAGTACTAAAACAGAATGTGCAGAGAGTTAAATTGAAGTTTTGTTGTAGAACAGTATATTTGAGTTTACGTCTCTGAATCTTATTGATACCAGGATTTGTAATTTTTAATAACTTGTCACAACCTTTCCTTTTTAAAGTCTTAAGTCAAAATGAAAATGGACTTAAAATAGACATTAAAACTCAAGAAGCTTCTCAGTATTTTAAAGTGTTTTTTATTTGGTTTTTGTAGGGTTATTGGTTTTGTAAGAATAAATGTTTGTGGTTCTAGAATTATTTATATCACTGCTTTCATGCTCAAAAAAAATCCCAGTTTGAATGATGAAATATATTGTCATGCCAAGTGTAATACAGATAATAACCATTCAGACACATCAGTTGATGGGAAGTCATATTATGCCTGGTTCAAGACAGATGCTCTCTTTTATTTTACTTTTTCATATTGTTTTGAAAGAAATACTTGTGCCTTACAGTCCAAACTCAAACCACTACCTTCAAGTCATTTCAAACTCATGATGACCTTCCATCCATTTAACATTGCAAGATGAGACTGCCTCATCTTTGTCCCATGAAGCAACTGGTAGATTCAGACCACTAATTGTTTAGGTAGTAGCCTAACCTATTAACACACTTATTTATTAATTATCATTTATAGTTATACTTTTGTCAGTCAACACTTATCAGTCAGTTTGGGAGTCTCTAAAACTTTAATGCACAACACATACTGGTAAAATGGAACATTAGGCGTCATTATGTTATTTGTGAAATGCTTTGTGGTTATTATTAACATTTATTTTTGTTATCAGAATGAAGGTCTCCTACCGAGGACATTTTCTGCATAACATTTACCCCTGTGCCTTTATCGATTCTCCTGAATTTAGATCAACTCAGATGCACAAGGATGAAAAATTCCAGGTATGTTCTGATATGATATTTGAGATTTAAATGACCTTATGTCTTCTTCAAAACCCAAAACATATTATTAAGATTCACAAAATAGTACCCAGAATTTGTTGGGATAAGACTTACTAAATAGTATGAATTCTCTGATGCCATTTTTTTTTTAAAACCTAAGCAAAATAGTCTACATCAATGTGTGTAAAAAATACTTAGGAAAATAGATACTAATTTGATTATAGCATTACCACCTATTATTTCTGGATTATGAGTTTACTTTTTACTTCCTTCCCTTTTTGCTTCTTTGAATTTTTCTAAATTTCTTGTGAAAAAATCTGGTATTTTTATGATGTGAAAAAAAGGAAAACAACAATATTAGGAAATTCGTTGTCCTAAAACATTAATATTGGATATTTTTATTAGGGAGAGCTAAGAAATTGGTACCTTAGGAAACATATTTTTTAATTTTATTTTATTATTTTTGTGTGAGTGTACCATCAAATCAGATCTGACTGGTACAGGAGGAAATTATCCCTCCTTCCCTGGCAGAGCATCTGGTGGATTCGAACCGTTCACCTCTGGGATTGTAGTTGCAGCTCCTTGCCACTAGGCCACCAGAGCTCCCCTAGAAAACATTTTAATAATCTTTCTTTTTTAAAAAAAAATCCTAATCCCTTTAACTGGAAACAGGAGAGGCATCCACTTCCGAAATGATTTGCCTCCAGAAACTCCATGGACGAACAGTGCTCAGGCTGTTCGTTCATAGGGTCGCTATGAGTCGTCTACGACTCAACGGCACCAAACAACAACAACAACAATCCCTTTAACCCTTTTATATTGAATGAATGCATTTATGGGCAAAGACTGGAGTGTGAGCATGTGCTCTTTATCTGACTTAATATAAAATGCTTTGGTATCTTGGACTTTCTGTGTCCTCATCCCTCTTGCTTACTTACTTGGTTACTGGTAGTCAAGTATCTATGAAAATGGGTGAGTGGTTTGTTTAGTCTCAGTTTCTGTATGAAATATACTTGGTAGGAAATGGAATGGAAGAGGATGCAACCACCAGAGAGAAGAAACTCACTATTTCTTACTGGAAAAATCTTCTTATAGAGTCTTTTTGGGACCCACAAAGGTGGATATAAAGGTGGATATAAAGAACTCACAGAGATATAGTTTTGTTTTCCTTATTTACAGTGGTTTTAGCCTTGTCCAATTCTGTTCTGCCTGAGTGAGTAATGCATGAGTAACTGCCCTGCTTCTTTAAGTTATAGCTCATCACAGTGCCACAGCACTGTTTCAGAAATGACTGGGATGGAGATATAGAGGCATAGTATCATTCCTCCTCTCTTCAACTTATTTCCTCACCTTGTGTATTGGGACAGCTGTGCACTGCATTTTATTGTACCTTTCATCATACCATCTACAGACTGGTAGAGGGAAACTTCTTTTTTTCTCACCTTCTTTTCTTGACCTCCTCACATCTCCACAGGCCATTTATCCATTGCGTCCATTTCTCCTGTGTACAGTAACAGGCAGTTTTGTATAATACCCTGGGCATCTCTCAGTCTTGAAGAGACTGAGATGTGAGGAGAGGATGGAAACTAAACGTCCTTTGTTTCCAGCTGTAAGTGGTCCCAGAGGGAACAGAAACATGAACATGTACAGTATTTTCCACTAAATTTCAGGGTATATTATATTTTCGCCATTGCATTTAAACAGCTGGAATTCTTGGTGCTGATGGCAGTTATTTTTTTGTTGAGCACTTGGGTTTGAGTCTAGTGGTATAGTTTTCAGAGAGCTTTACTGCTGAGCCAAAGGCTGGGCCTCCCTGGCAACTGGAATCTACCAGTTACTTAGACTGCTAAAGATGGACATTCATCACCGTTGTGATTTGCATCCTCAGATACCCCATAGAAATTCAGCTCTGAGTTGGTTCTGACTTGACAGCAATAAGATGGAGTTAAGAAAAGTTTCTGATAATTGCTGCAGATTCCAAAGTACATGCAAAATTGAGGTATGATAACTAGGTGAAGGATATCGGCTCAGTCTTCTCAGAGACTAACCAGCTTTTCTCTGGAGAAAGTCTAAATGATATTTCCTGATTCATTATTGGATGAAAACTACTGATGTCAAATTTGCATCCTGTACAATTGGAACAAAATCCATCAAAGTAAGCCTTGGGGAGAGATTATGCTTTGTTTACAAAATGTTCCTGTTGGCAAATACTCAAGAGTGAAAATAACAGTTGCATATCTGGGTAGGATTATATTGCCTCTTTGTGGAGCAAGTTCCCAAATGAAAAACATTTCATGCTCCCAAGGCCAACTTCTTACTACCTGGGCCTATTGGAAGGAATTATGACGATGGTGCAGTACAGAGCATGGTTTTTATTTGATGGTCATAGATCATCACCTCCTTGTATACAAGTTCAAACTGAAGCTAAAGAAAATCCAATCAAATCCACAAGAACCAAAGTTTGACCTTGAGTCCAACCCTCCTGAATTTATAGACCATCTCAGGAATAGGTTTAATGCCTTACATACTAATGAGCAAAGACCAGATATCAAAATTGTCATCCATGGAGAAAGCAAAAGGTCATTACAAAGATGGAGGAAAAAGAAAAAGGCCAAAATGGATGTCAGAGGAGACTCTGAGTATTGCATTAGAGTTCCGAGAAGCCAAAGGAAAGGGAAGAGATAAGATGTTAAGGAACTGAACAGAAGAATTCAAAGGGCAGCATGGGAAGACAAAGCAAAGTATTATAATGAAATGAGCAAAAAGCTGGTGTCAGAAAATCAAAAGGGCTGAACTCCCTTAGAATTTGTTTTGTTTTTATGCTAGTTAATTACAAAATTCAAATACATTGTTTTTCAGCCTAGATTCTTCCAATTTCCCTCACCCCTCCACCCATCAAATTGTACAACTACATGATTAATTCCACGCCACCCCCGCCCCCCCATCCTCATCCTTCTGCCTCCACTCTTCCCCTTTGCTTTGGATCTTCATATTCACTCTACAATAATGGTCGTATACAGTATTTGTCCTTATGGGACTGAGTTAGTTCACTCAGCATAATGCTCTCCAGTCCCTCCTAAGTTAGGTAATAATTTACAGTATCATTGCTGCTGCATGAATGTACCATAATTTCTCAATCCATTTGATTATAGCTGGACATCTGGGCTTTTTCCTTGTTCTTGTGACATTGAATAAGGCTACTATGAACATTGGTGTACAAGTCTCAGTTTGTGCCTCAGTTCTCATTTTCTCAGGGTACATTCCAAACAGTGGAATAGCTGGGTCATGTGAAATTTCTATGTTCAGCTTTTTGAGAAAGTGCCAAATTGCCTTCCAGAGTGGTTATACTATTTTATAATCCCACTAACAATGTGTAAGAGTTCCTATCTTGCCATATCCTCTCTGACATTTATTACTTACTGTCTTGTTGAACTCTGCCACTGTTACTGGGGTAAGATGATATCTCATTGTGCATCTCTCTTATTGCCAGTGATTTGGAGCATTTCTTCATGTATCTATTGGCATCTGAATATCATCCTCTGTGAAAAGTCTTTCCATGTCTTTTGCCATTTTTGTAATTGGATTATCAATTTCTTTCTTGTGGAGACTTGATTATTCTGTAAACTTTCATTATGAGACTCTTGTCTGAAATGGTATTATCATATGTTTGTTTCACCCTGTTGGAAAAAGGTTTTGATGCGTGCAGGGATTTAATCTTTAGAAGGTCCCATTCATTAATTTTATCCTCTTGAGATTGTGCATATCTGGCTGTATTTGGCAGTCTCTTTATACCATAGACTAGTCCTTCTAAGCTTGATCCTAGTTTGTCTCTTATGAATTTTATGCTTTGGGGCTTTACTTTCAGGTCTCTGATCCACCTTGAGTTGATTTTGATGTATGGGGTGTAATGTGCATCTTGTTTTCAGCTGTCTGCAAGTGGAAGTCCAGTTTTGCCAACATCATTTCTTGAAGAGGTTGTCATTTCCGCATTTGATAGCTTTGATTTCCTTGTTGAATATCAGATGGCCATAGATAGCTGGGTTGCTCAGCATTTCTTAAGCTTAAAGAACTGAAGAACAAATTCAAACCTCGAGTTGCAATACTTAAGTGTGCTTTGGGCAGAATGTTAAATGACCCAGGAAGCATCAAAAGAAGATAGAAGGAGTACACAAAGTCACTTTACCAAAAAGAATTGGCTGGCATAGAGGAATTTTATGAAATAACATACGAGCAAGAGCCTTTGGTGATGAAGGAGGACGTTCAAGCTGATCTGGAGCAATTGGCAAAAAACAAGGCCCCACTAATTGACAGCATACCAGCTAACATATTTCAACAAACAGATGCTGCACTGCACACACTTACCAAGTTGTGCCAAGAAATATAGAGGACAGCCACCTGGCCAACTGATTAGAAAAAAATCCATATTTGTTCCCCTTCCAAAAATATGGTGGCCCATCAGAGTGTGGAAATTATTTAACAATACCATTAATATCACATGCAAGCAAGGTTCTGCTGAAAAATATCCAAAACCGACTGAAACAACACATCAACAGAGAACCACAAAATGTGCAGACAGGGTTTATAAGAGGCCATGGCACTAGGGATATTATCGCCAATGTTAAATGGGTCTTAGCTGAAAGCAGAGAGCACCAGAGAAATGTCTGTGTTTCCTTAACTATGCAAAGGCATTGAGTGTGTGGATCACAACAAACTGTGACTATCTCTGAGAAGAATGGGAATCTCAGAACACTTGGATTGTGCTTAAGTGAAATCTATACTTGGACTAGGAGGCAGTAAGTAGTCATAGCAGAGCAAGGAGACACTGCATGTTCAAAAGCAGGAAAGGTGTGTATGCCAAGGATATGTCCTATCTCCGTATCTTTTTAATCTATTTGTGGAACAGATTGGCCACAAAACAGGGCTCTATGAGGAGGATGTGGCATCAGGCTTAAAGAAAGACTCATCAACATCCACTTCAGAACCACCTCAGGAACAGGTGT